CAAATGTAGATATCTCTAGAAGTCTGTGTCTGCCAGAATTAATTAACTGGATAGAGAAGGCTGTTTTCTTCACGCATAGTTCTGCTGACTTAGGATTTGTGTGTTCAAACCAGTGTGACTCTGCATCAGCTCTGCATTCACTCTGTGAATGTCCCGCAGGACCATGCTCAGGGTCTCTCCTGGGGTCCAGAACAGCCTCTGCTTTTAAGCAAAGAGGAAAATGATAGGCCAGATTTGTGGGTTTCAACATCTCAGTGTGGGAAACACAAGAAACAGAGGAAATCCTTCACTTGAGAAAGTGCATTCAGCACCTTCAGAGCACAAAGCAGAGTCCTGTATCCAAGCACAATGTTTGCTGGGTACTGAGTGCTAATGTAAATGTACACAGTTCCAAACCTCGCCTTCTGCCTCTTCACCTCTTAGATCTACTTGCTTAACTCCCCTTATTGTCACCTAAAATACAGTATTCTGTCCTACCTAGCAGCTCCTGTGGTTCATATCCTTGCATCTCTTCAGGAGAATTCATATGCTGTTTCTGCCTCTGGTCTTCTCAGAAGCTGCCCTGGCTGCCTTGTCCACACTCATGTAGTGCCCAGTTAGGTCAAAATCCCACCAAACACACAGACTGGGCTTCTTTTATCAATCTGGTACATTTCCTTCCCCTGCAGTACTGTAAGGTTCTGATCTGAATTTTGTAGGTCTCGGTAGCAACAGAGTCTAAAAGAGAAGGCCTGTAAGTAATAATAATACATTTTTCCCCCATCATTCAGGAGTTTCAAGACCCATCTGGAAGAAGCCATGATCATGGCCTGATCACAGCTGGCTCTGCTTTGGGCAGGAGGTTGGGCTAGAGACCTCTGAAAGTCGTTTCCAGCCTTTATTATCCTAGATGCCTGTTATCTTATTAACTGAGGAATCTGGGTCGCCTAAATGACAGCAAAATGCTGTCCAAAAGACAGCATCCTTTCAGCTGGTTGTAGTTCCTTCCTCTTCAAAGCAGGGCAGCACTGTTAACATGAGAAGGAAAGTCACTTACCTTCCTAGCTTATACAAACAGCTCCCTCCCAGAAATCCTCTTACACTCTTCGATGCTTATGGCAGCCATCCATCAGAGAAAGCTGCAGGACAGACAAGCAGCAAGGCAGGTTTGGCTTTCTGAGTGATAAAATTTCCCATTTGCTTCTGTGGTATTTGGGAAAATAAGACTCTAATAAAATCACTGAAACAAAACCCTTGCCCATGCCACAGCAACCCCAGACCATCTGACCCAATTTTCTTCTCATAGAAACAGTTTAGCAAATCTCAGTCATCTGGTAGCTGCCTGGGCCAATGAAGCAGAAATACTAACAGTCTGTTTTATCTGATGCCTTATCTGAATCTGCATTTTCTCTCTTAATTTTCTTCCCTAAAACACTTCAGATATTGCAGTTGTTTATGTAACTGGCCGTCTTTCAAAGGCCAGCCCAAAATCTGCTAAGAATTCTGCTAAGGAACAAGGGAATTACAGAGTTTCCTTGCCAGGTGTCAAATGGCAATTAAGGCATATCCTTTTTAAACAGGGCGAGGAGAAAAGGACATTCCTTGATATTTAACACGTTTACACAGGAAGAATGTAAGGTCTTTGTGTATATATATATATGTATATATATATGTATGTACACATGTGCACTCTGAATGGGTTTATTACTGTTTAAGCCATTATACAACATGTTGCTCAAAACAGATGTGATACTAGTGCATTTATTTTTCAGATTACTCTTTTGTGTGTTGCTATCAAAAAAATAAGGCACTTCTCCTTACCATTGAGCAATTCTGATTATGTGACCCTCACTAAAAAAGTAAACCATGCAAAGCAGCCTTCAGTTTGCATGATTTAAATGTTTGTATTGCTTGACCATATGTAAAAAGACAGCCCAAAAAGTGGTGAGGACTCTATGTTCAAATTTTTCAGAGAGGTCTGTGGTACCCAAGTGGTTTAGTAAAGAAAATATACAACAGTTCACATAGAAATTCTGACCCTGAGTATTTATGTTACCTCAGCAGAGGTGCCTCAATCCTTAGGCCCAGAGAGCACAACTTGGAGCGATATAAATTTAGCAGCAATGTAAAAACCAACCTCTGACCCCTGTGCTATGTATCAGGTATCTTCTGTCATGAATGATCTGTATTTTTCCTGCAATTTTTCTGCGTTCTATATAGAACCTGGGTGACTCTCAGTCTACTTATACAGATTTCAGTGAGGAAAAGGCAGTTTTCCTTGATACAATGAGTTTTATGCATTCTTCAGTACCACACAGAAGTTCCCTGTTTCTAACAGCTTCATCCACATTTCTAAATCCTGGTAGCTCTGTCTCCATCTTTTTCCTCTTCAGCAAGTTGTTGTCGGTATCACTTCTAAAAGAAAGTAAAGAAGGTATTCAGAAGAAACAAACAAACAGAGAACAAAAATCAGAACACCTAGATGTCTTGTCAAAACAGAGTAACGTAATGTCTCATCTGCCCAGCTCATTTGAATGGTGAGGGTAGGCTGGCACAAAGGAAGCAGAAACTGAGGAAGTGAAGCAGGAGGGGGAAAACCAAAAGAGCAAGAAGTCAGAAAGTAAGAAAATATAGATCAAATCAGTTGCTATCTGTGCATGTCCAAGTGCACATGTGCATGTGTTAAAATCGAACTGTCCCTGAAAGATCAAACAATTAATGACCTTCTCCAATCTGAGCTGCTGTACAAAAAATTAGTGACTTATGATTACCACAAATTACAAGGAGTCTACTTGCTTATAACCATGCATCAAATGAGTTGCCTCATATACTCAGTTTTCATTGTCATAAACTACTAATGTCCACTTCATTTGAAAAAAAAGGGCCTCTTTCCTCTCCCTGTATTTTAGTGTTGCTAACTTCTACACACTCCCATTTTTCAGTTTCTTTCCACGTAAAATAGCAAGCAAAATGTACTCTTTTACAGAATATCCTGAAAATGCTGCTTAGTGACTCACTGGGGAAGAAGTGAAATATACCAGTAAACCCTGACTTACCCAGCCGCACAATTTGTTTTCACCAGGCAGCACAGCAGAGTATTTCAAATGTCTTTATCAGCAACGTACAAATGCATGTGATTCTACAAATTATTCCAAGGGATAGAGAAGGAAAAGAAGGCACTTAGCTGAGGACTTCTAAGTTCTTTAATTTAGCAAGAGTGTGGCCAATGCCTGACCTGAGTGACAGAATATTTTTTTCACTTCACCACGTATTTTAAAAAAATCAACATAAAAAAAAGTAAATATAGAAGAGGACAGTTTGAAAAGTTTCTTCCTGAATTACAACATGAGGGGGGATATTCATCCTGGATCAAGCTGTTCTATTGCACCAGAAGAGAACACTTAATTACATTTTATTGATCTTTTATGTTTTGTATTATTTTGGAGGAAAGATTAAGTGGATTGAAGCAGTACTTTCCAACAGTTCACTTTTAAATTATTGCAATTAAGCCATTTCAACTTAGTGATTGAGGGTGTTACCTTTAATGGCAGTTCAAAGAATCACCATGAATCTGAGACTATTAAGTATTTGCACACTTTGGGAGAGTAAAATCTGCCTTTTTCCATCTGCAACAACTTGAGCCTCTAACACTTTTCCCTCCCTCTAATGAAAAACATTATCAGTAAGTGCCACAAATCTTCCATCATTATACAATTAAAAAGTGATGAAAAATTTCCCAGGTGGGTGCCTAAAGTTAGACCCCTGCATCTATATTTAAACACAAGCATTTCATAAAAAACTCCGTCTGCCAGATCTGTCAAAGAAGCAATTCCACCTTCTCTCCTCCCTACCTCATCTTCTCCATGCTCTCTGCCTTGTGATTGAGCAAGCATTAGTGGAGTCCTGAGCTGACCAAGGCTGGAAAAGAGCAAAAATGTGTCGTTTAGTGTGGATCTGTGTCCTGATCCTTCATTTGAAAAGTGGTGGCAGAAAGACAGGAGCAAGCAGCCATGGGTAAGGAAAGTACTGGGTGATGCTGGTATGTCACATTCAACGAAATGTGGTTCAACAAGCTATGAGCAGCTACAGATCTTTTGGTAGACAAAGAAAGTTTTAGGTAACTACCCCTGTCCAAATGTATTCATCTTGGCTTTTTTTTTTTTTTTTATAGAAATATATATATTAATTTTTTTTTAAATTTTCTTTTCAAAAGTGAGAAAACAAAAACAGTGGCACACATAAAAGGAGAAGCATGGGGGGCAAGAGGGAATATTCCTGCATCTGCATAAATCATTTCAATTAAAGGAGGTTTGAGTTAAAGTAATGGAGAATCTAAGCTCTATAAAAGTGTGTTCCAAATCATAATCAACTCATCTTAAGGTGTGAGGTCTCAGCCACTAGGTCTTGACAATAAAAATGAGAGTGCTGTGTTTACTGCCTAGCAGAGTAAGTTTATTTCTAAACTGCCTGTGTATTTTATTACCCAAAGTCTCTGGGGACCCCAGTGTCATGCAGTAAGAGTAGAAAGCACAGACAGTTATCCCAAAGGAGAGTGGGCAAAATATGGGTTCAAGAGAAACTCCTACCACAACTGGTTGAGTGCCATTTTCCAACAACTATGTGCAGTTTCATTGTCTGGAGTATGGAAACATTAGAAGACACTTATTCCTCTAAATACTACTGCATATTCATAGTTATATCCTGCACTGTGATTTTTAAAATGAAAGTAAAAATCAGAGACGTTATGGGAATTGGAGTGAAGGAATACTGAAGTATATTTTTGGTTCATCTGTATATGCTTTTGCAGAAGTGGATAAGATAATCACTGTTTTTCCTGTAAATAGATCTGTTTGTTTTACAAATAATTCACCGGTTCTTCATGTGTTAGGAAATCAGTTGTGAATAATAAGGGGAAAAGTTGTTCCTGATGACATAGTTAATATCTAGGAAACTCTCTCTCATTAAACTAATTTTTACATTTTATTTTTGTGTGTGTGTGCATGTCTGTATGTCTTCCACAGACTGGAACAAGAAATACAGAAATTAGAAAGTGAAGAATCACAAATATCTGCCAAAGAACAAATAATTTTGGAGAAACTAAAGGAGACTGAGAAATCCTTTGACAACTTGCAAAAGGTATTTAAAAAAAAAAAAGAAAAGACATTTGGGCACAGATTGAAACCAAAGTGTACTCTTAGCTCCATTTGGAAGCAGTGGTTACAACTCATGCACTTAAGGAAAGATTGAGGGCAGTTGCAGAGCACCTAGCTTAAACCAGTATAAGCAAGACTAGAAAAGACACAGTGGCATCAGGTCTGTTCTGGGTGGGTTTTTTGGGTTTTCCCTTCCATCCTAGCTTTTTTTGAAGCGGGATTTCAGAGGCTAGCTCCCTATCAGCAGGGAAACCACATGAGGTTTAAGGGAGCTTTCAGCCCCCCTTAAAGATATCATCAGGGTCCTGAGAGTATTTAAAACTCCCCTGCGCTCATTGCATCCAGAGATAGTAGCATTTGCCACAAATGCCACTTCAAACCATTACAGCCTGTAACAAAAAGAAGAGCTCTTCATCTAGTTGCACCATGTCCCCCTCCCCCAGTCTATGATGGCACCTAAATCCAAGCAGCAGCAATCACAGATACCCATTTAAATTTTCCAAGGAACCATAAAAGCAAGCCTAGCATAAAAATCAAGATGTAAAGCAAATTAAACCTGACCTATTAAAGGTTTAACCAAACATCCTATTTTTTCCCTTCACAGAGTTTCTCCCACCAGGATGGTGGTAAGTGCCTTTTTATTATTGTATAGCTTTGGGTTTAACACGAGTTGTTACTATAGCTTTGTTGCAAAAGTTTAAAGAGTGGGTTTCTTTCCTTCGTTGTGTGTTTCTGATGCCTTGCTAGAGCCATTACCTTTTTCTTTGGTATTTCTATAATGCAAGCAGAAACGTCACTGTTGTGGTAAAACAGTATTGCTTTGGCAGAGTTCCACTTCTTCTTACGCTCACACAAAGGGAAAGAACAGCATGAATAACTTAAAGCAGACATCATACAATTTCTGTGTTATTGACCCCTTTCAGCACATGATAGCTCTGCACTGCAGACTCCTTCTCACCTCTCTGTGGTCAATCTTCTCTGTTGTGTGTGCTCATGCTCTGTTCATAACCTGCTAAATTTTATGAGGACTATCCCTAATACAGAGGAACAACTATTAAAAAACTATTATTTCTCCGATGAACAATATCCTCCACATGATGATTCTTGCAGAAGGAAAACCTCACTTGGTTGGATGAGGATGTAGTAATCCCTAGCTTATTAACTCAGTGTCATACAAAGTGTAATCTGTACGAAGTGTGAGCTATAAATTTAGGTGTCCGCGTGAACAGATAATATGCATGGTTCCCAGGAAGCTGGAGAGACCTTTGTAGTGCCACCCCAGGATCCTTAGGACCCCAGAATGATGTCATGCTAAGGCATCTGCAGATAAATATGAGCACCAGATACTCATTCTCAGTACATGTCTTTGAACTGAAAAAATAATGAGGTTAAGACTACCTCCTCCACCTGCTGTCAGCTGTACTGTGAATGTAGATGGGGAACATGTAGGATGATCCCAACATGAAAACAATGGGATACAATGGAAGTTACTATGTGGTATTTGAGTTGACTTGGAGCTGTCTTTTCCAGGTGATTAATATTACTTACTAAAAAGAGCTTTTTTTAAGTCCAAGACCTCGTTCAGAAATTTTCACTCCTGCTAGCAATATAATCCAAGTTTTTTGTTAAATGCTATGGTTAAAAAAAATCCCAGATAGTATGTTCCATTGTAACAACTTAGTCTTTCTTCTCTCTGAAGGATTTTAATTTGGCTACCACAAAATGGTAATTGCAAATATGTTGTACCTATGCAGAGTCACACCATGGTCATTAGTAAGTACCTTAAATAGGAGCAGTGCCTGCAGGAATTAGCAACTAAGGAGGTTAAGACTACCTCCTCTACCTGCTGTCAACTGTGTTGTGAATGTAGATGAGGAACATGTAGGATGATCCCAACATGAAAACAATGGGATACAATGGAAGTTACTATGTGGTATTTGAGTTGACTTGGAGCTGTCTTTTCCAGGTGATTAATATTACTTACTAAAAAGAGCTTTTTTTAAGTCCAAGACCTCGTTCAGAAATTTTCACTCCTGCTAGCAATATAATCCAAGTTTTTTGTTAAATGCTATGGTTAAAAAAATCCCAGATAGTATGTTCCATTGTAACAACTTAGTCTTTCTTCTCTCTGAAGGATTTTAATTTGGCTACCACAAAATGGTAATTGCAAATATGTTGTACCTATGCAGAGTCACACCATGGTCATTAGTAAGTACCTTAAATAGGAGCAGTGCCTGCAGGAATTAGCAACCAAAGTGCTCAGGAGCTTCTATGACTTCTGCAAGGTGCATCCTGCATCTTCACGTGTCTTGCAATAGCAAAGGAACCTAAGCAAGCCCAAGCTAACAATTATAAAGTGGTAGTTTCCCTGAAGATATGTAGCAATGTAGTATTTAATTAGGTTCAAAAGGAGCTCTCATGCTCTCCAGATTTTACCTGCTTTCAGTGGGTCCCTTCCTGACAGACTAAGTCAGAATTAAGGACAGCTTGTAATTTCTGAAAGGTAACAAAGAACTGCAAAAATATGTCAAAGCAAAGAGAGCAATTTGCTCTAGCAAGCAAATAGAGCAGGGGATTACATCTAAGTGAAACAGTCCCTCTCCTCTCCTCTCCTCTCCTCTCCTCTCCTCTCCTCTCCTCTCCTCTCCTCTCCTCTCCTCTCCTCTCCTCTCGAAAACAGTACAAGCCACTGGATAACCCAGGAAGGCTATGTAAAACAGAGACACAAACCAACAATGACCCTTTTGGGCAATTTCTTCAGTTGCTGCCATATCGTGAAAGACTCCCAAGTCCATACATCTCATGTTTATTTGTTCTGTGTCCCTTTATTGTAAATGCAGTGACAGTACATTTTTTTAGTCTTACCATTGTGATCCTGTGTATAATTTTGTGGTGACAGAGATTTTGAGTGTGCAGGAAGCACTACTAGAGGATGTTCAGAGCCCAGAGAGGTCCAAGAAAAGGAAGGGAAGAAGTGGTTGTAAGCACTTCTGTGACTGTTCAGATGATGCTCTTTGTCCTTCACAGCTTTCATAGAAATAAAAAAGCTGTGTTTGGCAGCGAGAATTTGAGCTTGAAATCATCCAGGCACAATTAACACAAATTCTACATTTTCCAGGGTATAAACACACTGCCTTCATAAATCACTGAGTAAGAGAAAGTAGAGCAGAAATGCTGAGGCTAGGACCTGTGGCCCTGTCACCTTCAGTTGTGACTGCCAGCTCTGTAGTGGCTTGCAGCTGACAAGCTCTCCATTAAACAAGGTCTGATGTGATGCTAGGCATTACATCATTTGTTGGCGCTCTAGTCTGCAGTCAAAACCACGCATGCTGCAGTGCTATGCTGCATGCACATTCTGAACAAATGGAAAGGAGAAAGCTCTTGCTCCATGTCTGTATGTTTATTTCTCAATTTATATATAAAATAAAAGGCACATGAAGATCTGATGTAACTCCCTTGTCTGCTAAATTTGCCTTAGAGGTAAATGCATCCTCTGCAATATTTGGCCATTCATATGCAAACTATTTGTTACTACTTCAGCCAACATACAGAAGCCACAATTACAGTAATTGGACAGTTTGCACAAGCCTCTATTTGAATTTTGTATGTATTAGCATTTATTAGGCCAAGAAGTGGTCTAGGAAACCTGGCCCAATTATTTAGTAATCAGAACATTGTTTAGACTCTTCTTGTTTTCTGTCCTCTGATCTTGACAAGTTGTGCAGCCCAAGAGAAAAACAGACCAGTGTGCCCTCAGAGGAGTCAAGTACAGCTCTTTGAAGAGTTCTTTCCACATGTCCTGTAAAAAGTCATCAGCAATTGACTTTCAGTTGTAGGCTTTGATAACTTTTAAATTCAGTCTCCATCTAGAGCTGCCAGAATTACAGCACCTCTGGCTACCTGAGTAAAAACCGTTTATCGCCTCCCTTGGATTGTGACATGTGAGTCAATTTCCTACCCATCTCACACAAGTCTTGGCTGGGAGAATAGTGTGAGAAACAGTGTCAAAAGCTTTGCTGAAGTCTAAATAAATATCATCCACTGCTATCCCCATGTCAATAGAAGATGTTATGTTGTAGAAGGTGATTAGTTTAGTCTGTCACAATTTGTCCATGGTGAAAAATCCATTATTTTTCCCAATAATCTGCTTCTTTTGGTGTGTAATGGTTTCTCACTCTGTCACTTGCCATGGGGACGAAGCATTGTGCCTCCAGTTTCCTTGGTCCTCTTTGGTCCATTCCTGTGGTATGACATTTTTGCCTCTTCTAGTCATCAGGGACATCTACTGCAGTGTGTATCTTTCAAATATTATAGACAGTCTCCTTAAAAAAATGTCAGGCATTTGCTTAACACAAATACACACACTTGGGTGTGTATTTATGTATTCATTGACAAAAAAGGAGAAATCTGCCTTGTTACCATTTTTAGTGACCAGCTTCCCTGCACTACTTAAGCAGTGGTCTTGTGTCTTTCCATCTGTTTACTGCTCACAAATACTGAAGAGCCCTTTCTTTTTGACATTTTTTACCAACTTTAGTCCTAGCTGATCCTTAGCCTTCCTGACTGCATCTCTGCATCCTCCTAGCAAGGTGCTTGTAGTGCCCAGTAGCTAACTGGATGCCTTTCCACAACCAGTATGTTGCCTTTTCTGCTTTTAATTGCACCTAACAGTTCATTGTTAAGACAGGGAAGTGTTTTGTTTAGATTTCTTCCTTTGCCTTTGTAGAGAATAGAACCATTGTTGTGCTTTCACCAGACACTTTCAAATAACTCTCAGCATTGACAAACTCCTTTGACTTTCTTAGATGCTTCCAATGGAATCTCTTGCAGCTAGGGCCTTGGCGTATTAAATTTGTCCTTTCCAAAATTTAAGGTCTTTGTCCTACTACTGGCCTTCAGTGTTCTGAGCAGGACCTTAAACTCCACAATGTTTGCTCACTGTATCCAAGGTCTCATTGGTTACCAGTGTAATTCAAATAAATCTTCTTGGCTTGCAAGCAGTAAATCTAGCAATGTGATGCTCATAGTCAGCATGTTCAGCATCTATAGGAACAAGGAGTCCCAAAGACACTCCACAAATGTAATGGCATGTGCACAGTTTTGGGGGTTTTTTTCCCTACAAATGTGTGGGTAGTTGAAGCCACCCATGAAGACTGAGCTCAGTTGGCCCAAGACTTCACTGAGAAGCCACAGTAAGGTTTTGTTGGCTTCATGATCCTGACAGGGAGGCTAGTGCATAACACCCTTCTTAGTGATGACCCCTCTAGTCATAATCCTAAGGCATTAGTTAAATAGAACTGGTATGATCTCCACAGCTCTCCTCTATATGCACAATATCTCTGTCACATAAAGTGCAACTCCACCTCCTCTTCTTCCTTTCTTATATTTCTGAAAATATTATATTTGTTGCCATCCATTGTGGTCTCCTCATCATGTGAGTTTTCCCACCAAGTTTCTGTGATTCTTCTGGCATCTCTCACACTGGGCACAAGACTCTAGTTCCTCCTGCTTCATGCCCATATTATATATATTGGTATACATGCACTTGAGATGGCTGCCCTTAGGCTTCTTGCCTTCAGAAAGGGCTGGGCACCATTTCTTACTGCTCTGATAGATGCACTCACCCACCAAATTGCTTATAGATGGACAAGTGTTGGCTGTGAATTCTAACCCCCAAGCTTGTTTAAGGCATAATTCAGTAAGTCAGAGCCAGATTATTCAGCTTCCAGCAAAAGCCTCCATTGATGTTCTCACAAACATAGCGGGAGGGCCAAAATCACTGTTCTTCCTGATGCAGTCTCATGCAGCCCCAGAAAGCTTTGTAGGTGGAACGGCCCTGCCCTGGGAGTCAGTATTTGCAGAAGACCCGCCACTAATTTTAGTGGTATGGGACTTTTTAAAGAGAATCTGTCCCTTGGAAAATTAATCCATCTGATATTTGATCACAAGCTTCCATGTGGGAGCTATTCAGAGCAGCTCTGAAGGTTTAGCTTTGTGTGAGCACCCTTGAAGGATCACCTCGCCCCACATGTTTTGCCAAGAACTTGTCTTCCTGTTTATCTAAAAGAGTGCCATACTCCTAAAATTCATTTTGTTGCAAGTAGTAAAAAGACATAGAACTAGTTTTATGTCATTCTTAGATATTAATAACTTATCAAAGATTGAAATGAAGATATTGAATGCAGTCTGTTTAAATGTTATTTATGTTCTGTCTTCTCACATGAACAAAATGCTAATTTGCGTCTCATCCATTCCCTGTAAAATTAGCCTCTTATATCCTTTTAAAGGTGCTCAGTCAAAGAGACCTTGTTGCCAGTGAGGTAAAGGGAAATGAGCATATTTGCTTTGTTTGGAGGCTGGGTGGGGAAGGCAGCAACACAAGACAGGAGCTGGCAGAATCAACCAACCCCAGCTTGTAGTCAATTACCCTATTTCTGACATGTGGCACCACCACTAGCTTCAGAAGGAATGATATGAGAATTGCACTGCCTTCCCAACATTCCCTGTCATGACAAGGACAGATTGGAACCCTGAAGCTAATTTTTAAATTATTTTATTATAATTAACATACAGAGAAGTTTCTAAACTAATTTTATACTAGCAGCATCTAACGCTTAGCCTAGTACTGTCTCCTAAAGCAGGAGACAAGGGGAAAAAAACCCCAACAGCTTACTAAGGTCCACAGACATCTACCACACAGACATCTACCACATCAAAGTGAGAGTTTCACCATCAAGCTGTGGAACTGATTTTCCCTAATGCTAGATGTCAGCGATGCTCAGTTCCCCCTATAAGCACTGGAGTAAAAATAAATATTTGCAAATAATTTTGCCTCCTGCAGTGTCCTTGCATAAGAACTGTACCCTAGCCATGCCTATTGATCCTCATGAACTGCAAAAGAAGTAAGGATGATTACTTAAGCAGTTCAAGTCTGCATTGATTATGACATGTAACACATGTGACACATCTGTCACTCAGTCACTGGATGAGTGTGTACTGAAACTACTGTTTCGAAAGGACACTCTGTGGGATGAATAATTATTAAGTTTGTGCTATTTCCAGAACACAAAGTGCCTTCTTTCCCCAGACCAGAAACACAATCCCCTCTTCTTTGTTCTGAGAAATTACTTCAGTTTTCAATAATGACCTACTCATATGCTGGTGATATTTCCCAGAGCAACAGCACCAAGCATTGTACCAATTTCTCATTAGAGGCAAGTGACCCCGCAAAAGAAAGCAGCTGTTGCTAGCCAGTGCTCAGTCAGCTGTGTGTCTAAAACAATTATTTTTCCTAGGTTCTACTGCTAAAAATACAAAACTTTGAGATACACTATGCATTGAAATTATAAAAGTCCATTTGCCAAGACTGACATTTTTCTCTTGAAATATGAAATAAAATACCATTTGCCTGGACAGGCTTGGGGATTTTTTCCAATTCATCTCATACAAATTGAACTCATTTATATACTAAATTTCTGAGGGTTTTAAATGAATTTGCCCTGTGCTTCTGTGCCTTACTTTTCTGGCACCAGAAGGGAGGAAAGAGGATTCCTTACCTGATTTACCTACAGTGGTCCACAAGAGCAATGGAGTTTCATCATGGGGTCTTATTTTTCTGCATCCAGTAGCAATGGTGACTACCACTGACTGCTATGGGAGTAAAACCATTTCACTAATACCAGGCCCAATATTCCTGACAAAAAAGCTTTGGTATTAGAGATGGCATATTATGTCCTTCCTGAGGACACTACCAGGTGTAGGTATTTTTTCTGGGATGGGTGTTAGCTCATAGGGAATGTGATGAAAGTATCTCCCTTAACCAGGTGCAGTCAAGCAGGTTAAAACAGAACATTTACTTTTCTCTCTCATGTCACCGATTCCCTTTTATGGTCTGCACTGGTTAACCTCTCTCACCTGCTTATAGCAACAAGAGGCTTCAAGGAAGGGAGATTTTGCCTCCTACCGTGACACATGACCTAGGCAGTACCAAAGGCTTGACAAATCTTACATTGAACTGGCAAAATACCCTTGGAGGAAAAAGAATGGTCTGTTTCACACAAAATAGGATTTCATATTTGAACATAAATTTAACCATTTCCATAGAGTTGAAAACATTTCCAGTTGATTAGAAATAATGTGGGTTGGGTTTTTTCTTCTTTTTTTTTTGTTTTGATCTGCTGCATGAACTTTAAGATCTTAAGTCAGTTATTTGCACATCTCTCCTCTGAGCTCTGCCCGTAGCTCAGCCACTGAATTCAAGCAGAACAATAAATGCTAGTTATATTTTACCCAGCCACAAAATATCTCCAAGGAAATACTTTTAAATTTATGAACATCTCTTTTAAAATACACATTTAGCTTGTGATAAGTAGTCATAATCTCAAATGTAAAACAAGTCAATCATTTAAGACAGCTTTCTACTAATTCAGGATTTATTAAGGAATAATGGCGTTGCAGCACTGGCAGGAGCATAATACTTACTGAAAACTAAAACAGCTACCTTATCAATATCTCTGTAAGATTTCATTATTAGCTAAAGTTCAGCTTTAAGAAAAAAAAGCAAATTCTGATTAATATTGGAAACAACTGGTACAAAATAGCTGGTTTCTTATCCTACTCAGTCAACACTAGCATTTTTAGGCTTTTATATCTCTATTTGAAATGTCATGTATTCTGGGTGATGCACTGGGTTTATTCCTTACCTTTCCCACCCCACTCCCCATTTTAAAGCTCACCGACTTGATAAATCCAGAACCTCCTAACAAATAATTTTATGTGTTCATCTGACATAAGGTTTGAGTCATCTGGACCCATTCCCTCCTGCCTCAGCTAGTCTATTGAACACCAATCACAGGACAGTGACTTTGCACTTTGTTTGTTTTGATCCAATTATCTAGTACAAAGCTCCAGTGACTATTGTCAGGGCTGACAACACTCTGCTGTCTAAGCAATGAAGCCACCAGGGCTCATAGCACAAATCTAACTGTTTCCTGTTCTCTGACACCAGATGCAGTAAATTACATTTACTCCCAGATCCCTGAACTCCCAACCCTCTATTCACGAACAGCAGAGCCAGTTCCTGGGTGGGACGGATCAAGCAGAGTAGCTGGTAAGTCTCAAGGAACAAAGTATTATAATACCAGTCCAATAGCCATGAACTCTTTTTGTTATATTACTTTAATGAGTCTGGTGTCCTGATATCATTTAAATGCCAGGAAATACTGATTGATGTGTATTGTAAATAAGTCAAGGCTTTTTGAACAGCAGTGAGTACTCTCAAAACAAGGTAGCTGAACTATATACAAGTACCGTAGGAAACACCCTTTTTTGTAACATGGAAACATTCAGTTCTTTCCATCTCTGCTGGTACAAATATATAGTATTTAGGCCAAGGTTTTGTGTCCTCTCTTGTACCCATGCAACTCCAGACAGGCACTCACAAGACCACATACGTTCTTCAAATATTTATGTCAATTTCACTTCTTTGTATGCCATTCTTTCTTCTTGGGAAAAGGTGGGCTTGTTTTGTGCTTGGAGTCATACAGAAAATTTTCTAACACTTATTTTTCAGATTATGTGTGTGTCTTAAATGTAACAACAATACTGTTAGAAGCTGTACATTTTTATTGTTTTCAAAATTCTTGTTTTCTGAATAATGTGCTCCCTATGTCAAGACTGAATTGCTGGTGGCTACCTAAGAGGTATCCCAAGGAAAGGGATAAAAGGTGGCTTACTTGAGAAATGGATTAACCAGCATAGCAAACTAATGTTTGCAGCTAAGGCACTGTGCACAGCTATGACGTGTAATTTTTTCCATAAGTTCTGTTGCAAGCCATTCCAAAATATTTTCTTCCACCAGTGCTTACCCTGATATGTCTTTAAAGCAAGCTTTTCTGTGTGTTTTGTGCCATTTTGTCGAACAATGAGAAAGTAATAATTTCTTCCATATTTTGGATGACTCAGAAGCCTTGTTAATGTACTCCTTGATAAATGTATCATGTGTGTGCAATAGATGTTCTTAAAGGTTGGCTTTAACCATCCATCTTAAAACATGCTCCAAGTGTAAGTAGATTATTTTTTTAAAGAAAAGCCTCTGAATCTGCAAAACAGGCAGAATCTAGATCCTTCTGTTGGCACGTTGGTATCTTGTCCTGAAGTGCTGGATCATGTTTCACTCTAATTAAAGCTTCTGCAGAAACTTGTACTTGTGAATACTGGCTGTCATCTTCAAGTACTGCTTTCAGTTCCAACTCTATTGTCCCATAGTTTTATATTCTATTAGCAGATCACATTTTGCAGTAAATATGCTTTGGTTAAATAAAGACATTTTGGCATCAATGTTAATTCATTTTGCAACTACTTTGACAAGCTGAGCTGCTAGGTATTCTCACAGAGAACAAACATGCACACAGGCAGGTAAGCAAGGTTCTGTTATTCACTTCTCTCATGGCAGTGCCTTTTGCTGGTGAACAGCTTTCTAAGAAATTCACATATGTTTATGTATTTACTTACCCAAGTGGCTTTAATGCGGTCCCTGGGTTGGTCATAAACCACATGTCATGCCAATATCCAAAAACATTTGCAGTAAAATCACAGTAGAAGACATGAAAATAAAATGTTGACAGAGTCAAAAGCTTAAGCAAATTAGCCAGAGTTGAAATACAAAAGGATCAAAGGATCACTCCTGTTAACTTTCTACAACAGCATCCTCAAAGAAGTGCTAGAACTTGTTGCCTGAAGTCTCCCTAATATATAAGACATTGTTACATGACACTACTCCATACCATAGATAACAAAATGTATCTTGCAACTCTTTTTAAATATAGAACCATAGAATTTTAGATTTTAATTGGAAGATACTTTAAAGATCATCTAGTTCCAGCTGACCTGCCATGGACAGGGATGCCATTCACTAGATCAAGTTGCTTAGGACACCATCCAGCCTGGCCTTCAAAAACTTGCAGGGATGGGGCATCCACAGCTTCTCTGGGCAACCTGTTCCATGCCTCACCACCCTCTGAGTATTTAAATCTGCCCTCTTTCAGTTTAAAATCATTGCCCTTTGTCCTGTCTGTATCTGCCCTTTTAAAGTCCCTCTCCCTCATTTTTATAAGCCTCCTAATGGTACTGAAAGGCTTCAATAAGATCTCCACAAAGTCTTCTGTTCTCCAGGCTGGACAATTCCAGCCCTCTCAGTCTGTCTTCATGAGAGAGGTGCTCCATCCCTCTGATCATCTTCATGGCTCTCCTCTGAATCTGCTCCAAAAATGTTCATATCTGTCTTGTGCCGAGGATTGCAGACCTGGGTGCAGTACTCCGGGTGGATAGAGTCAGGGCAGAGCAGAGGGGGATAATCTCCTCCCTCAAGCTGCTGGGCACTCTTCTGCTGCAGCCCAGGATACAATTGGCTCTCTGGGCTGCAAGTGCACACTGTTGCCTGATATCCAGCTTTTCATCCATGAGAACCCCCAAGTCCTTTTCCTCAGGGCTGCTCTCAATGACTCCTTCTCCCAATGTGTCCTCACATTTGGAATTGCCTCAATCCAGGTGCAGCTCCTTGCCCTTGCACTTGTTGAACTTCACAAGGTTCTCATAGGCCCACTTCCCTGGATTGTCCAGGTCCCCCTGGGTGCCATCCCTTCCTTCTTTTGTGTCAGCTGCCCTGCTCAGCTCTGTGCCATCTGCAGATTTGCTGAGGGTGCCCTGGATCTCAGTGCTCATGTCATTTATAAAGATACTAAAGGACACCAGTCCCAAGAGAGAACCCTGAGGAAAACCACTCATCACCGGCCTTCACCTGAACTCAGAGCCATTGACCACAACTCTCTGGCTCCAGCCAGCCAGCCAGTTCGTTTTCTACCAAATCATCCAGCCATCAAATCTATGTCTCTCCAATTTGGAGGCAAGGATGTCATGGGAGGCCATATCAAAGGCCTTACAGAAGTCTGGATAGATCACATCTTTTGGTCTTCCCTTGGTGACCTTTGCCATTATTCCATCACAGAAGACCCCCAGATTCATCAAGCATGATTTTCCATTAGTAAAGCCATGATAGCTGCCTTAGATAAACTCCTTATCTTTTATATTCCTTAGCACATCATCTAGGACCATCTACTCCATGATCTTCCTAAGCCCAAAGGTGAAGCCCACTGGTCTGTAGTTTCCCAGTTCTTCCTTTCTCCCCTTTTAAAAAATGTGGGCAGTGTTCCCCTTTTTCCAGTCAGCAGGGACTTCACTTGACTACCATGACTTTTCAAATGTGATGGAGAGTAGCTTGGCAATAACACAGAATTAAAAAATCATTGACTAGTTTGGCTTGGAAGGGAACTTAAAGATCATCTCTTTTCCTCAACCTGTCTGCTAGGGGCAGGGATACCTCCCAGTAGACCAGGTTGCTCAGAGCTCCATCCAGCCTGGCCTTGAATATCAGCCAGTTCCCTCTGGACTCTGGGTTGCATGTCATCCAGTCCCACAGACTTGTAGCTATTCAGCTTCATCAAGGGATCCCAAACATGTTCTTCACTTGCAGTGGGAGGGTATTCACTTCCCTCACACCCATCCAGAGGATCAGATACTTCAGAGAATTGGGAATCCTGACTCCAGTGAAGACCGAGGCAAAAGAACTCATTGAATATCTCAGCTTCCTCTACATCAGTTATCACCAGTTCTCCCTTCTTGTTTGCAGGGAGATACTTGGCCTTTTTTCCTAGCCTGTGTACTTACGGAAGTTCTTCGTGTTGCTCTTCATGATCCTTTCCAAGTCCTATTCCAGCTTAGCCTTGGCTTTCCTGACCCCTGACATTAAACCATATTCCTGTACTCTCCCTGGGTCACTGTCCCTGCTTCCACTGCTAGATGTTGCATTCTTACTCCTTGTTTTGAGGAGGTGACTTTAGCTCAGCTCCTTGGTGATTTCCGGCCTACGTTGTTTATTTCCTACACACTGGGATAGAGAGCACTTGCATGCTAAGAAAAGTAGTCTCGAAGCCTTGTCAGCTCTGGTCAGCCCCTCAGTCCTTAAGAACAATTTCCCAGGAGATCTCATTCACCAACTCCTTGAACAGCTGAAGGTTCTGTCTTGTAAAGTTCAGAGGTTTGTCTTTGCTTCTTGCCAGGATCATGTTCCTCAAGGTCACAAACTCAAATATGGCCAGGTCCACATGATTTAACTATCAGATTTTTGCTATTTGCTTTGGAATTCATTCCTACTGTACAGGCCTTCTTTTAATGCACAATACTGACCCAAATTTGTGCATCAAAGCAGGGATGGTCGGACAGATTTCATACTCTTCTGCACTGCAAATACATGGCACTAAACTATTTCACATGAAAATCACCAGTCTGTAATGAAAAGTCATGCACCAGATAATATTTTTAATTTTCAAAGAAAAAGAGAAGCACAGGAGCTGTAGGGGAGCTCAAGGTGCTGCTTCTCTCTAAGAAGGTAACAGGCAGCCGGTTAATGGGCAGGTGGTGCCCTCTCTTTTGAGTTATGGTGCTCAGGACAAATCAGGAACTTCTGCCCATCAGAGATTATTTTCTGAATGTGCTGTTGATGCCTCATGGTTCAGTTTAGCTTCAGTTCAGCTGGGCACCCAGAAACATGCCAGTTTTAGGATCTTCACCACAGAGGAGCCAGCCTCTATTTTTGCCTTTGTAATGTTGAAAGTTATTGAACAATATCTGCCTGAGCAGCCCTGGTGAGGTCAAGCAATGTTGAGTCCAGTCACCCAAGCCCTAGGCACCAAGCCAATAAACAAAATTCTTCCTTTCTTCTTCCCCCCCAAGAAACTCCACCTAGAAAGTTCTAGACTGGTAGTTTTGGTACCTGCATCTCTTTGTTCAATTATCACTATGAATTGGATTAAAGGCTTCGGAGCAGAGGCACTTGAAAAAATCATAAAGGGCACTTGTACACCAGTTCCTGGGCTGAGACAGTCCAGAGCAAGTGATCCATGCTAGCTGCTTTCTGAGCTTCAATATGGTCCTGTCTGACAAAGTTTCTTTCAGACCAATTGCTTTGTAGGTTAATTGCTACCAGCCCTAGGGCAACAGTTTTTTCTTTATTTCCAGCCTTAATTTCCTGTTTCCAACCATACCAGATGCCTTGCAGTCTCCAGCTGCACATTTCAGAGCAGAGCTCAGGTCTCAGCCTTGCAGCTCCCTTCTGGCTGGCCCAGGCCAGGCATGAAAATGCCAGCATGGGAGGGATATCAAAAAACTGTAAGCCCTACTTTAGTGTGGAAATGGGCATCCTGTGCCCAGGGTCGTGACAGCTATGGACACAACTAGTCCACAAACCTCCTGAAGCAGTGGTAAAACACAGTCCTTAGGGATAGTCCCCTAGGTTGCAATAGTCAAGGAGAGAATGGTGCTTCTGCAGCCTACTCTAGCCTTCAGCAATGCATCACTCTCAAGAGGGAGAAATGTTGCTTCACCCACTGGCATCTCTGTCCCCTGGCTACATGCAGGTGTTTGTGTGGTGTTGTACTTGTCCTAACCAGTTCCTGCTGGGGCTGGCTGAGGTCTGAGCAGATGTACACAGCATGTGGACGGACAGACCCAACCATTTTGCCCACCAGACAGCACTCTTAGGGGACAAAGGAGACCATGTCATGAACAGCATGCACATGCTCATCAGCACATTAATTTTCTATCTAGCACTATAGGCAGTGTAATGATGCATGTCATGATAAATTTCCTATTGATGATTAAATACTTTAAGATTACAGGAAAAGTAGTCCTACTGTGTGTGAATAAAAAGACTGAGGAAATATATTCAAGTAACAGTAATTTTTTATATTAATTTTTTTTTTTAAATACAAACATACGTTGATTCTTGGGGCAAGGATATTCTCTACTCACTTGAAAGTAAATCAGGGAAAAAAAACAAACATTCCAGTTTGTGGTATTCCCAGGTAAGATAAATCATGTTTATACCATTGAGGTTCGTTGATGGAAGTGATCATAGTAAGTTTCACAAACACTTGTCACTGCCTGTGGTAATTTGTAATTAAGTGTCTGTGGATGTCTGTCCAGGAGCCAAATGTCTTCATATGCATACAAGGAATGCTTAAACAAATGAACACTTTGGAAAGTCTGAGATGCCTTTGCACATTTTTTCTTTGAAAAGCTGTCTAGTGGTATGTCATCATATCTCAGAATGGGTTTTGGAGCAGAGTAGACTGCTCATCTGTTCCTACTGTGTGGTCTACACTTTTCATCTCATTACTACATCCTTAACTGCTAGAAAACCTTTGCTATTGTAAAGCAACAGCCCTCACACATGTTTTTACATGTTGTTTCATGACTCCTTGAAAATCAGTTCCTTATTACTTTTTTCTTCAACTTTCACAGTGGTGCTTAATGCTTAATTCACATAAACAAGGGAGCACTTTGGCTATTTTGTACATTCTCTTAACCTGGAAGCAGAGGTCACAGTTGTTGTCTTGGTCTGGAAGCTGAGAGAACTGTCCTGCCACACACCTGAGGGAGAAATTCTCCTATTCCCATGTGATTTTGTTTTCCCACATGCAGAACAGAGATAAATAACATTTCTTCACCCTTCTAAAATGTTTTGAGTGCTACAAATGGAAGAGTTAATCAAGGACAAGTACTGATAATTAAATGGTCTGAGTGTTTCAGCAAACAAAACTTGTTACCAACTAACTGACAGTTTGATAGCAGAAACAAGAGTAGAGGGGTTCTCTCTGAATTTTGAGGCAAGTTCAGAATGAAAAGTTAGGGGTCAACCTGCATGCTATCACCTCCCCTTGTCTAAATTACACCTAACCTCTTGGTGCTTCTAGTTGACCAAAGACGGCTCCATGTGACGTGAGCTGGAAGAGAAGGTCCTGTTTGAGCAGATATGCCCAGCCTCCACCTACATAAAAAGCCATAGTGTAACAGTGTCCACAGTGTTGCACCCCACCTCTAACATAGAATGCTTAGCCCCTTAGAAGCAGGAGACAGGAAAAAGGGGCACCATAGTTTTCTTTGTCTGTTTGGCAATTAACCATTCACTGGCTTTTTTTGTTGTAACATGCACTTCCTCTCTTGTTTTCATTCAAGCTTTGTGCACCATGGAAATTAATGTGGAGAAAGACAAACAGACAGGAGAGACCAAGATTGTCTCTGCTTCACCTGTTGGCCCAGATGAGGCCCATCAAAGAGGATTCAAAGTCTATGATGATGGTTCCAAGGTAGTCTATGAGGTTCACTCTGGTGCCACAGTGGTAGAAAATGGAGTACATAAATTAAGCTCAAAGGACGTAGATGAACTTATGCAAAAAGCTGGACAATCAAGTGTAAAAGGAGGGTATGAAACAATGACTGTGTCAGACAAAAATGTGGTAGCCGATGGAAACCTTAGCCATATGAAGGAGCAAATGCTCTTCAAGGAGGCAAAGCTAGAAATGGTACACAAATCCGGCAGAGGACGTGCTGTGAACCCTCAGCCACAAGACAAACCCTGTGGTGGTGAGACCCCAGAGCCCAGTGCAGATCAGCCGGTGACAATGATATTTATGGGCTACCAGAACATCGATGACGAAGAGGAGACAAAGAAAGTGCTGGGCTATGATGAGACCATCAAGGCAGAGCTTGTGCTGATTGATGAAGACGACGAGAAGTCACTGCGGGAGAAGACAGTGACTGATGTTTCCACCATGGATGGGAACGCTGCAGAGCTGGTCTCTGGCAGGCCCCTGTCAGACACGACAGAGCCCTCCTCTCCTGAGGGGAAGGAAGAGAGCCTGCCCTTGGAAGCTGCCCCAGGTACACAAAAGAAAAAGCGCTGTCAATGCTGTATTGTCATGTGAGCACCTCCTCCTTCCCCGCTCCAGGCAGCTCCTGCTCCATCACTTACTTAGACCTCACTGTACTTCTAACTGCAATACTGTGAACTGGAAGTGAATGCCTCCATTGCCTTGCAGTTGGGTTGCTTTTCTTTCTAGTTCTTCTGGAAGAGGAATGCATGGTTGTTTTCCCATCAGGCATATATTTGGTGTTGGGGAGGGGTTGGGGGCTTTTGGCTTCTTTTTTTCTTTGTGTTGTTGGTGATGGTGTTTTGTTTTGTTTTGTTTTTCCTTAATACTACAGAGTGAGAGATAAATGAGAAATGGAACATATGTTTTCATATTTATTTGATTTTTATATATATATTTTATATATATAATGAAAACACTTTTTACATTTTTTCTTTAAGTATCTGGCAGGCTTGATCAGATTCCTAGGATTTTGTGGGAGTCTGAGTTTCACAGCCACCAGATATGAGAGCCTTAAAAAAATGTTACTTATCCTTTTTATGAAAAATCACATTAAGTATTATTTTATATGTCATGTTTTTTATTTCTCGGGGAAAGGCTCAGATCAATTTACTGTTTTGATCTGCTAAAAATCAGACAAGCCTTTCCCAAAAAATTGCATAATTTTGTTTTTTAGTAACTTTCCAGTTTAGTTTGCAGTGTCAGAAAAACCCACTAACCATTTCCGCTAATTGGTAATACCAGAAGTGGACCTTAATTGTTCTTTCTAGAAAATGTATGAATGATCATTTTGCCTTATACAAATCTTCCAGATTACAGTATTGTATATGCACTTCATCTCCCCAAATTACAGTTGAAATTGACATGAAAAAGATGCAGCTGTCACACCAACAGAATTGGAGTCACTCGTCAATTACTTTCAATAACTCTGCCAATGTTTTTACATGAAATTTTCCTGCTGAACTCCAGTCGAAGAGGGATGCTGCGTTCTATTTCCATAGAATATAAATGAACTTTTCTGACAGTCTGACCCTGTTCCTACTGGATTCAGTGGCAAAATTCTCAGTGCTGGGAATGCAGGCAGGGCCAGAGTTTTCTTTTGTAGTTCTTACAGAAGTGTAATTTCTCACAGAGTGTATCCAGTGCACCTACATAATGACAGGCAATTGGGTCTGATGCTGCCCTGCTTGTCCAGGTAAAACTCCTGTGGAGGGCCACTGGAGTTTTGTCAGAGCAGCTGTTTTGGAAGACCCTGTAGCCACAAGACTAATGTTTTCAAAAACTGCTGGTGGTTTTGGATGCTTCATTTTCTAACATGGGGCACTAAAAGATGCCTGATTTCCAGTGCATTTTTATTCATCTGACCTCCGAAAATCAGGCCTCTTAAAAACAACTAAAGATGAAAATGTAAAAATGTGAAGGCATCCAAAATCAATAGGTCTTTCTTTTTTTTTCTTGTTCCTTGATTATTCTAAACAAGAAAGCAGCTAGCTTTTTCATGATGAGTTATTATGAACCTGATTCTTGTATCACACTGGTTTGGCTTAAGTTTAACTTCACTCACGTAGTGGAGTTACACTGCAATTATAATTACATGAGTGAGATTAAAAATCAGGTTTTATATTTTCTGATAGTGTGAACAAGTACTGAAGATTATTTTGAAGTGTCTTTGAAACTATCAGACTTTAAAAATCAATAACAGCAACTGAAAAAAAACAGTAAAAAAAAAAAGGAAAAAAAGAAAACAACAAAAGCCTCTTTTCAGTCTGAGGTGGTTCCTATGATATTTCTCTTCTTTCTTGGATGGTGCTTTTACTGCATTAATTGTTAGTCCAGAGCATCTGATTGAACACAGTTCTTGCTCTGTACTCTTTTCTTTCTGTGCCAGTAAAAAAAGACACTCGTTCAGTGGTGGTAATATGAGGCACACTGAGAACCTACATGTCTAAAAAAGCAAAAGGTAATTCTCACGTTAGGTCACTCAGCTGTCACTATGGAACTGGTCAATGAAACGTCTCACCACTGCCCAGGTGACTGTGACACAAAAAAATACAAACAAGTAGTAAAAAAAAAAGTAAGAGTACTGAAAGACAGTCTCACCTCTTTGACACCTGCAGAAATTTTGCTGACCTCCATATCAGCTGGAGTGGCAGAAAGGAATAGACTTCCACATGCTCCCTTTGCCTCCCCTGGGGGCATTTGGTTGGGAGAAGGACCAAACTCACCCAGAGAAGCTCTGCACATCATTCTTTGACTCAGGCTTAGGTGGTAAAGTTTTATCACAGAGCAAAAGGGCCACAGAGCCTCATATTGCAACAAAAGATCTGGTGGCTGTTTGTTAAAAACTAGCAGCCTGTGTGTGGTTTTGGCTGAGTTGTGTGAGGTTTAAGCGTTTTTTTGCTTGTTGGTGGTGGTGGTGGTTGGATTTTGATTTTTTTTTTCCCTTTCTCTCTTTTCCTAGAAATGCTGAGCATTTACAATTTTAAACATTTCTTAAAACAAGACCCTAAGTTTCAATCCCAATACAGCAGGTGAGGCTGCCCCCAGGCATGTTTCTGAGCCTGCAACACAAAGGCTGAAGCCCTTTCTGTCTTGCATCTCCCTGTGAATGATGAAGGAGCCCAGCACACTTTGCAATAGTTCTGTCGCTCTGGGGCCTGCTCACCTCACCAGTAATACTCAGATCTCCCAGCCAACTCCTCCTGGCCTGGCCAGTCATCTTGTTGCTCACCGCCTTTTCCTCTCTGGGTGTGATGCCACCTTCTCAGCCATCCTGGCCTCATGGTGTCTCCACAGCCTAATCTTTTTTCCCCTGCCGCTCCTGTCCCCATATGACCATTTTTTTTTCAAAACCTCCTGCTTGGGAAATTGGGGGTATCTTACTAATCTAACCCATTCTGTCCCTGCATCTCTTGAGCCGTGTGCTCCCCTGTCAGATGACCTTCTGGTTCAGCACCAGCTCAGCATTTTGGGGATGACTCCCTTAGCAGCCAGCTTTGGGAAATGTTTGCTGACGCTGGGACCAGAACATGTCTGAGACCGCTGCACCATCTGAGGCACAGCACAGTGGAGAGATGGCGGCACACCACAGTCCAGAAGTGGCCCTTTAGTGGTTAGAAGTAGAGCACAAGCCTTAAACCTTAAACCTCTCAAATACCCACTGCTCAGTACTTGTAGCTAACATTGAGTGCCTAGGAAGGCCAGTCGTTCTTATGTGTTCACATTAACTCCATGGTTAACAGGCCCCAGTAGGTCCAGGAAAGCTAAAGGTTCACTTGCATAGGGTTGGTCTTTACAGGTCAAAGGCAGTTCCCCACCTGAGGTCAGGAAAAACATGGAATTGGAGCTAAAGGGTCTGAAATCACAGGGTCTTAGCTGAAACATTTACTGCAATCAACCTCCTCCACCAGGGCAGCAGCCATGCCTGGACATGGCCTTGTTCCTTCTAGCCATTAGGCTGCAGCCAAGTTACAGGGGAATTCAGATGCATTAGGCCAAGCTGGTGAATGTAAATTGGTTTTCCAGGGATGGTTTGGGCTTTGAAAGGGTTGGTTTTCCGCTTACCCTTGGGTAGGAGGCTGCCTGTGAAAATCCATGCACAATCAGGCACAAGGAAAGCGGCCTGCTCTGTGGTCAAGCAGAGGGAGTTTTTTGTAAGGATCATTATGGGATGGGGTTTTTTTTATATTGTTTAAAGCAATTGTTTTTTTATTGTTTTAAGCAAAATCCCTGTCTGTTTAACTTATGCCATCACATGTGCATTTTCAGTTTCTGCATGAGGGGATATGAAAAAGAAGAGTCAGACACTGGTTCAGTAATAGCATTTTGCCACAACAAACTGCTCGCCTTAACTTTTGTAAGAAAAACAAAGAAAAACCTCTTTTCAGTGTATTTTTTCCTGGACTAGGAAAAAAGTAACCTAGGAAACTTTTTTATATTTTGTATTTTCTAAGTTTCTATACACCCACTCTCCATGTCGTCCCTTGTTTGCATTCAGGGACCAATTCTTTTGCAAACCACTGCATTTTACTTCCATTCATTCTTTTTTTTTTTTTTTAACAGAAAAAAATACAAATCAAAAACCACAGCATTATGATTAGTGGCTAGGCAATCTCTTTCAATTACTAGAATATCAATACAGAAAGAAAAGAATTACAGGGTTGTTTTCTTTTTTTAATTTCTTGTGGCTGATGTACTGTATGGTATATGTTTACAGAACTCCTCTGGTCTGCCTTTGTGATGTTATCTAAATGAATGACAAAGTAGGTATGATGTGCCATTTGACAGTTTGCCTTAGCACTCTTGGGTTTCCTTCTTCTTTTTTGTATCTTTTATTTCCTAATTTTTTCAAAAAAGTGCAGGCTGTATTCCAAAGCTGTATAAACACAACATTATCTTTCAATCCCCAGCAAGAGAAGCGTGCATAAGCCCTTCTCCAAATGTACCTCTACCAGTGCAGTATGAGACTTCAGCCCAGCAAACAAAAACGTGCATACCTAATTCTGCTGTGTGTAGAACTGTTTCAGTCAACAGGACTCCTCACAGTAAGAACATTGTAGGAGTCTGCAAGATCAGGCCATGAATGATCAATGCAGATATAGTTTTGGTGCTCCTTATGTACCTATACAGATTTTATACACCGCTGAGTTTGCCCAAGGTGTTGTAATCAGAGAGGCTAACTCTAAGCATTGTACCTCTACTGAGAAAAATACAAAACGAAACGGTACTTAACATCTGGTAGGATCAGGTCCTGAGTCAGCATTGTTACCATCCATGAGCAAACATTCAGAGGGGCTTCCCTGACAGCTAAAATATTAGTCCCCTGCCATTGTACCTAAGTTCACTACTGATTCTTCACACTCAAATGATTAAGATTCCACAGATTAATTTGAGCAAAAAGATAGCATAGAGAGTTTCTAGAGAAATAAAAGGCATTCTACCTTTTAATTTAGTCAAACATTCAAATGGCATACTTGGAAAGTAAGCGGGGATATCATAGAAGATGTAGTT